AAAAAAAAAAAAAAAAAAAAAAAAAAAAAAAAAAAAAAAAAAAGCAAAACAAAAAAAAAAAATATGCTGAGTGGGTACCAAAAAAATAGCACAACAGGGTGACTCTAGTCATCAATAATGTAATTGTACAATTTAAAATAACTAAAAGAGGCCCAGCACGGTGGTTCATGCCAGTAATCCCAACACTTTGGGAGGCCGAGGCAGGTGAATCACCTGAGGTCAGGAGTTCATCAGCCTAGCCAACATGGTGAAACTCTGACTCTACTAAAAATACAATGAGGCTGGGCACGGTGACTCACACCTGTAATCCCAGCACTTAGGAAGGCTGAGGCGGGTGGATCACCTGAGATCAGGAGTTTGAGACGAGCCTGGACAACAGGGAGAAACCCCGTCTCTACTAAAAATAACAAAAATTAGCTGGGCATGGTGGTGGGCACCTGTAATCCCAGCTACTTGAGAAGCTGAGGCAGGAGAATCACTTGAACCTAAGAGACAGAGGTTGCAGTGAGCTGAGACTGTGCCATTGCACTCCAGCTTGGGCGACAGAGCGAGACTCTGTCTCAAAAAGAAAAATACAATGGATACTCCAGCTTAGGCAACAGAGCGAGACTTCAGAAGTATCCATCCCCTGAAGCACTTATCCTTTATGTTACAAACAATCCAATTTTAAATTTTTAAAATTTTTATATATATGTGTGTGTGTGTATATATATATATATATATACACACACACACATATATATATATTTTGATTTATTTAGAGAGAGAGAAACCAGAGAAGGAGAGAGAAAAAAATAGCTAACTCTCACACTGAGAGAATCCAGAAAGATGAAATCCAGGAGAGGAAAGCAGCTTCCACACTGAGTGGAAGGGAATAGAGAGAGATGGAGTTTAGGAGGGGAAGACAGGCTTCCACGAAGGGAGCGTGGAAGGGGACTCCAGAGGGAAAATCCAGGAGAGAGAAAGACGGCTTCCACGAAGGGAGTGTTTGTGTAAGGGGATCCGAACATGGAGTCCCTCCAATTATACTCTTTTAGTTATTTTTATTTTATTTTATTTTGAGCTCTTGTTGCCCAGGCTGGAGTGCACTGGTGCAATCTCAGCTCACTGCAACCTCCACCTTCCTGGTTCAAGCGATTCTCCTGCCTCAGCCTCCCGAGTAGCTGGGATGACAGGTGTCTACCACCATGCCCAGCTTAATTTTTGTATTGTTAGTAGAGATGGGTTTTTGCCATGTTGGCCGGGCTGGTGTCGAACTCCTGACCTCAGGTGATCCGGCCTCCCAAAGTGCTGGGATTACAGGCGTGAGCCACTGCGCCCGGATGGAAAAACAGATCTCTTGTCTTTGCAGTTGCTAAATAGATCTTGCTGGAACAGGCTGCAATAATTCCCCTTTCCCTGGCCCATGTGGAAAAGGCCTGGTCTGTGGTAGGAAAAAAATGAGTCCAACTCACTGATTGGCAGGGACAAGCCTTTGTGTGATACATTGAGAGAAGACCCCAGCAGGCTGAGGGCCTGGTTCCTACAGGCTCAATTCCATGAGATACACTTCTGTCCTGGTATCCTTCCATCACTTGCATTGAAGAGTTGAGGAAATGTGCCCTCATTTTACAGATGAAGAAACTGAATCTTGAGAGAAAGCAACTTGCCCAAGGCTACAGAACTAGTAGGAGGCACAGACAGAACTCCACATTCTTTTCTTTTTTTAGAGATGGGCTCTCACTCTGTGGCCCAGGCTGGAGAGGAGTGGCACCATCATAGCCCACTACAGCCTCAAACTCCTGTGCTCAAGCAATCCTTCCCCTTTAGCCTCCTGAGTAGCTAGACTACAGGCACACACCACCTTGCCCAGCAACAAAGTGCCTTTTGGCTGGGCATGGTGACTCATGCCTGTAGTCCCAGCACTTTGAGAAGCCGGGCATAGTGGCACACACCTGTAGTCCCAGCTACTAGGGAAGCTGAGGTGGGAAGATTGATTGAACCCAGGAGGTCGAGGTTGCAGTGAGCCATGATTGCATCACTACACTGCAGCCTGGGCGACAGAGGGAGACCCAGCCACCTCTGTTGTAAGCTAGCATTTAGGCTGGGTGTGGTGGCTCATGCCTGTAATCCAAGCACTTTGGAGGCCAAGGCGGGTGGATCACCTGAGGTCTGGAGTTCAAGACCAGCCCAACCAACATGGTGGAACCCCGTCTTAAAAAAAAAAAGAAAAGAAAAGAAAAAAGATAGCTAGCATTTATTGAGCAACAGGCATTAAAATATGTATATTCTTTTTTTTTTTAGAGACGGGGTCTTGCTATGTTGCCCAGGCTGGAGTGCAGTGGCTATTCACAGGCGCGATCCCACTACTGATCAGCACAGGAGTTTTGACCTGCTCCGTTTCTGACCTGTTTAAGGAGGGCTAGTTTACCCCTCCTTAGGCAACCTGGTGTTCCCCCACTCCCAGGAGGTCACCATAATGATGCTCAACTTAGTGTGGACACCCAGTCGGCATAGCGCACTACACCCCAGAATTCCTGGGCTCAAGCGATCCTCCCACCTCAGCCTCCCGAGTAGCTGGGACTACAGGCATGTGCCACCGCGCCGGGCTAAAATATGTGCATTTCAAAGACTGGAAATGGAGGCTTGGCCTCCTCTGAGGCATGAGGGCCTGAAAGTGCCATTTGAAGATCAACTGGACTAGTCTGCCCTTACCCTTTGCCTCTAGCCCTGAAATGTTCATGTTGTTTCACCTGCGGCTGTCACTTCCTTAGATGAACTACTACCTACCCACCCACCTGCCCTCGAGAGTGGAGGCTTTTGTGTCTTCTGACCCAGGTAGGGTCCGTCAAATTCCTTTCCTGGGATTGCTCTATGGGTACTGCAGGAAAGAATTCCTCTTGCTGCCCTAGGACAGTGTGAGTATGGGGCCACCAGTTACCATCCCTCTCTCTGTAGGAAGAGCCTAGCTGAACTCAAAGCCAGTGCACAGACATGGATAGATGGAGAGAGACAACCTTACTGGTATTATTTGGTCTCGGGGATCCCACTAATCCTGAGGCCCCAACGAGTGATTTGGGCCATACATTCCTCTTTTGCTTAAGCCAGTTTTATTTCAGTTTCTTCCACTTTCTTTTTTTTTTTTTTTTTGAGAGGGAGTTTCACTTTTGTCCCCAAGCTTCAAAAAAAAAGGAAAAAAAAAGGAAATCGGTACCGCAGCAACCCTGGATAAAGAAAGTTTGC